CCTCCCTCCACCTGCTGCTCACACTCTTCCTGATGCCCCCCAGGAGGCCATTGGCCTTCTTGGCCACCAGGGCCCATTGCTGGATCCTGGGCATCCTGTTGTCCACCAGGACTCCCAGGTCTTTCTCCTCAGAGCTGCTCTCCAGCAGGTCAGCCCCAACCTGTCCTGGTGCAGGGGGTTATTCCTCCCCAGGTGCAGCACCTACACTTGCCCTTGTTGAATTCCATCAGGTTCCTCTCTGCCCAACTCTCCAGCCTGTCCAGGTCTCTCTGGATGGCAGCACAGCCTTCTGGTGTGTCAGCCACCCCTCCCAGAGTTGTGTCATCAGCAAACTTGCTGAGGGTACACTCCATCCCTTCATCCAGGTCATTGATGAATATATTGAAGAGGACTGGACGCAGCACTGACCCCTCTCCCCATCACTCCTTTTCGTGTAGTGAGAGCTCGAGGTTATTGTTGCTTAACCGACTTGAATTAAATTTTCCACACCCCACAGTGAAATGAAATGAGCTTTTCTGATTTGCTGTAGCAAAGTTGTTGGTTTTTTTTTCTTTTTTTGGTCTTAATTTTTCCTCTGCTAATCTTTTAGGAAGAAGGAATGAATTTGATGAACAGAGAAACAGTACGTGAAAGGTAAGTATTAAGTCAGATTGGAATTCTTAATGCAGTCTCCTATGGGCCTGGGACAATACATTTCTTTTCTTCTTTATAGAGAAGTGCAAGTAGCAATGCAAATGAGCCACTCATGGGAGGAGAGCTTGAGTCTGGTAATGCATTCTTGCTTTAATTTGTTTTCCTATTATCAGTATCAGGACACGAGAGACTCTCATGTCAACATTTTCTTTTCTAGTTTGAACTACAATTAATGTGTTAGTGTATTACTGCTTTTGATCAGCAGTTTTTCACACTAACAAGGCATAGAATTATCAGTTTGAGGATACATATGGGCTGTCAAAAAAAAATTGCATGGATATCTGCCTGTTCAAATTTTGTATCTTCTTCCATGTTCTGATACTAACCATATGAAGTTTAAGGCTTTTGGTTTGCTTGGGATTTGCTTGGGGTTTTTTTTGTTAAGTATAAGCTCATAAATGGCTACCTAAAAATTATGAAAATGCTGGAGGGTAACTTTGGAATCATACTCAATTCTGCACCAATCGGTGCTTTTCATTTAAGGTACTAGCTGATAGGATTAATTTTATGTGTACTATTTACAGAGTGACAATGATTTTGAAAAATCATCATCACCAAAGCAAGTCGACTTTGTCCCAGTTTCTCCAGCTCCTTCACCTACCAGAGGAATAGGGAAGGTGAGCAAAATGTGGTCAGAATAGTTTTATCTTGAGTGGTGCTAAATAACTCCAACCAAATTAGTAGCAATAGCTTAAACCACCTGCTCCTTTCTACCTCGGCTGCAAACAAGAAACTAGAGAGTAAGTGAAAAAAAAACCCTAAACCAGAAAATACCAGTGAGCGGTTGCACTTCTGGTCGGTGTGAATTTCTGTGGAGTGTTCAGCTGTTAATCTGTGGTTAATAAACATTATTCCCTATTTGCTTTTCTCTTGGAATAAGAGGAAGGGGCATCCGCCTGGATGCAGTCCTGAGTAACATGCTCTAGCTCTAGGCAATCCTGCTTCAGCAGGGGAGTTGGACTAGATGATCTCTATGGTCCCTTCCAACTCTAAAATTCAGTGAAATTCAGTGAAATTCTTATTTTATGAACCATAGTCAGTTTAGACTGTAGTGAAATAAATCCAAAGAAATTCTTGTCAATGTGCGTGTATTCTGCGGGGAAGTGGAATCTGTGATGGAAAGGGATATCTCCGTGTATCTATCCAGATTGACTGGTTGCTTAAATTGGTAGTGGGTTGCTTGTTTACCTGTGATAAGGATCAGTTGTTACCGTGTGGGTGTGAGACTGTGTTTATAGGTAACTAAGACAAACTGTTTTGCTCTCAGCAATGTTTCTCGCCATCCTTGCAAAGTTTGGTGAGCAGCAGTGGGTTACCTCCCAGTACCAGCCCCAGTCCAACCAGGCGATTTTCGAGGTAAGTACCAGATCATACCAGCAATAGAAAATCAGCATCGCTTGGTCACAGCAGGCTTGTGAAATACCAGAGTTTGTTATATGCATCACTGATTTCTGATCACAACTTCATACATTTGTGTAAACTTTAGACTTTCCAATGCTTTTAAATATTTATTAAAGTCCTTATGTCATAACATTGGGAAAGTGGGCTCATTGCGGCATCTGTCTTCTCAGTATGGTCTCACATCTTAGGTAGTTGACTTGAAGTCTAAAGGGGGCGAAAAACCCAAACAAACAGATTCAGGATTTGTTACTGATTCTTGTTTTAGCTGCATTGGATGTTTTTCCTGAGTGATGTGGACATATAATTAAATTTTATTAGGCCCTAAGAGTTCAGCGAAGTTCTGCCTGTCAGCTGAGATCTAGTCAGTGCCTACATGGTGAGCTTTTAGATTGTCCCAACTGTGAAATAATGTGATTAAACCTGTTCTGTTAAGGTTGGCCTTCAGGAAAGGGAAAAAAAAGGACTGGCTTTGGATAAGGTGTTTAATGCGTATTTTCTTAGTGTTTTCCACTTAGTAGTTTATTATCTGAATGTCTTCTGATTCTTTGCATGTTTTCAGGCTTCCTTTATCAATGGTGGTATCAGTATAGCATATGCCTTCTCTTAGCAGGAGAAGCCAGAGTCCAATTAACTGCATTCGACCAAGTGTTCTTGGCTCTATAAAAAGAAAAGGTACAGTATTTGGTTTTGGCTAATATAAAACTAACACGTTGGCATCATTCATGTAGCTTTGCTCCTTGTAATTCTGTTCAGTTGGCTGATGCTTCAAAGAGTGACTAGAAATAGGTGGTGTTACAGATGACCAAATAAATGGACTGTTTTGTAGGGATAAAACAGACAATTAGCTTTTACTATTCTGTGTAAACTAGTAGTTCTGTTCTAATGCCTCTCCATCGCTGTAGTCATGTATATCTGACAAGAAACCAATATAACCGGCTTAACAAAACAAGGAATACAGCTATTGCTGTATTTCACAAACAGAAAATGTCCAAGTCCTGGGTAACTGAAGAGCACAGTACCTGTGGATTTAAAAATCGCCCTTCAAAGCCAAAACCTGCTGCAGACCTGGTAGATACCTTATGGCTTTATTGGGAAATGTTTATCTTCCTAGGTTTTTCTTCCAGTTTAACTCCTGCCTATTTATTGCACCTGCTTTTATATCTTCTTGCTTCAGTATTGTAACATCTGGCTCTGAGACAGCTTTTAAAATACTTTTCGCTGAGTTCTGGCATAGCTATTTAAGTGTGTATCTATCCTCTCCTCTTCTGGTGTACTTGGAAATCAAAGTCAGTATATAAGTTTATTGATAATTCCGGACCTTGTTTTTTATTGATTGCAAGAGGAAATCTGCTTCGGTGGAGCTAGTCTTGGTTAGTGAACTGATAGCTGAATAAACTGAATGAAAAAGATTATTCTTTGCTACTGAAGAATAAATATCCGATAGCTAAAGCTCTGTTCATAACTCGGTAAACTTTGCTGAAGGCTGGACTAAAATGTTTCCAAGAAATTAGGCAGTCTTTAAAATTTCAGCATCTAACTTCTATGTCTTACATATAAAATATCGTTCAATCTGTTGTAACAAGTTTGAACCTCTGTTCTGTTTGCTCAGTACATTGAAAGCAGATTTTAGTTTAAATTAGTAGTAATTTTTATCATTCTGTATTTCTTACCAAAGGTGTAACAGAGATAGAAGATCATCCGAAAAGATTATTCCAAGGATCCTCCCACATGCTGACCCCTGAAGTTTCACATCAGGCAGACCTTGGGGGATGGTAAATGCTGTGCTATTGATTATGTTGAATTAATTGGAAGCACTACAAGTCTTTTTTTCATCTAGTAATGATCATGCTTGAAGTTGTTGGGGTTTTTTTAATTAATACAGACATCCCCTAATTTTGCAGCACTGAAATTCTCACAGTAAACAGGCAATTTTACAGCTGACTGCCTGTTAACATGCCTCACGTGTATGGGAGTTGAAGCATGTTTAGGAAAAGATACGTCATGGCTGGTGATTTTTGGAGTCTAGTTTTAAGTTGCGATCAAATGTAAATGCTAATGCTTGTGGGTGGATTGGGGTTTTGTCTTTTTTTTTTTCCCCTTGCTCTTAGTCACGTAGGAAAATTTGTCTGTCTGACCCTCCCTGCTGGGAGGAGATAAACCGTACTAGGTTAAAAATCATAACAGCTGGAAATAGAAAGGGATTTTGATGTAGTATTTCAGGTAAGAGGTTAATAATACCCAGGGTGTGCCCGCACAGCTATCTAGACAGGGTTGTTCACAGCACGTTTGTCCTTTTTGTGTCTCTCTCAGCTGATGTATGCAGCTGTGCACACGCTTTGAGCCCGTTGCAGCGGCAATAATGAAATAGATGTTTTAAAGGTACTTTAATTACTCAGCTCCATGCTTCCAGCCTGGGTGAGCTGAAGGAGGAAATTTGGCAGAACGTTATCTGTTTGTTTGGAAGTGACTGCAAGGTGTGTGGTTGCAGATTTGTTTCAAGTCATAGGTCTTACTCTTCCTTCAAAGATATACATCAATTTCAAGGATGGCCGCACTCAAAGGGTTGCAGTCAAGGGCTCAATGTCCAAGTGGCGGCCAGTGATGGGTGGCGTTCCTCAGGGGTTGGTCCTGGGACCAGTGCTGTTTAATATCTTTGTTGGAGACTTACGTGGACAGTGGGATAGAGTGCACCCTCGGCAAGCTTGCCAACGACCCAGGCTGTGTGGAGTGGTCAACACGCTGGAGGGAAGGGATGCCATCCAGAGGGATCTGGATGGGTTTGAGAGGTGGGCCCATGCGAACCTCATGAAGTTCAACCCAAGTCAAGTGCAGGGTCCTGCACCTGTGACATGGCAATACCAGGCACAAATACAGGTTGAGCAGAGAATGGCTGGAGGGCAGCCCTGAGGAGAAGGACTTGGGAGTGCTGGTGGATGAGAAGCTTAACAGGAGCTGGCACTGTGCGCTGGCAGCCCAGAGAGCCAACCATACCCTGGGCTGCATCAAAAGAAGCGTGGCCAGCAGGGCCAGGGAGGTGATTCTACCCCTCTGCGCTTGTGAGATCCCACCTGGAGCTCTGTGTCTAGCTCTGGAGTCCTCAGCACAGGAAGGACATGGACCTGTTGGAATGGGTCCAGCAGAGGCCATGAAGAAGATCAGAGGAATGGAGCACCTCTGCTGTGAGGACAGGCTGAGAGAGCTGGGGTTGTTCAGCCTGGAGAAGAGAAGGCTCCGGGGAGACCTTATAATGGCCTTCCAGTGTCTGAAGGGGGCTCCAGGAGAGATGGGGAGGGACTCTTGATCAGGGAGGGGAGCCATAGGAGGGGGGTAATGGTTTTAAATTGAAAGAGGGGAGATTTATGTTAGATACTAGAAAGAACTTGTTTGGTGTGAGGGTGGTGAGAGCCTGACCCAGGTTGCCCAGAGAAGCTGTGGCTGCCCCATCCCTGGAGGGGTTCAAGGCCAGGTTGGAGGGGGCTTGGAGCACCCTGGTCTGGTGGGAGGTGTCCCTGCCCAGGGCAGGGGGTGGCACTGGATGATCTTTAAGGTCCCTTCCAACTCTAACCATTCTGTGATTCTATGATTTGTTTATAAAATGGCTTTATACCAAATGGAAGGTAGCATTTGAGGCTTACCAGGAAGAGGACCTAATTTCTCATATCTTGATGTTACTCTGCTTTCAGTCTGTCGTCACACGCTCTCGATGACACCAGAAGCAGCGCGGGCTCTTCCTGTGACTCACCAGCTGAAGCTGGCACCAGCACAGACTCTCCGGTCTCACTCTCTGACTCCAGATCGCCCTTTTTACCAGTAGATCTTACAGCAAAGTTACCTATTAATTGAGAAGCAGAAGTTTGCTAACGGACACCGAGAAACAGCCTGGATATCACTAAGACTTTCTGTTGTGTGTAACTGATTCTGTTCCTCATAGGAACTTCCAGAAATGTCATTATTTCTAGAAAACTTCCAGAATAGTTCCTTGAGGAGGAATTCAGATTTCTAGTGATGTGTATGACATTTACTAAAATACAGTAAGCATTTGAATTGCAAAGGTGTTTGATGCTAACATGGGGGAGCAAGCTGTTGATTTATAATGGGTATCATCATGTTGGCATAAGTTAGAAATACTCTGTACGTTCTGCTCCTGGAAGATGTAGCTTTCCATCAGCCACGAGGCAGAGTCTTCACTAATAGAAGGTGGTGCTCATGCAGTAGCAGATAACTTTCACGCTTGTCCTCAGTCTGAACCCAATGAAGCAGGTTACTCATTTGGCTTTGTTCCCCAAGTGTTAGATATTTGTATTTTCTGTTCTTCATACAAAAGGGGGACTACCAGGGGGTGGGAATTGATGCTTGTGTTCTGTTCTGATCGGCTGTTAATCGATTGTGATCTGATACATGTCAAAAGAACAAGCTGGTGAATTGTCAAATTTATATGTTGGATTTTATTCGTGATCATGACTGCTGTTGTGACTAAATCCAAATTAGATTCGGAACATTCTTCTGGGGTTTTGTATTGGGTTTTTTTTCCTTCCCTGTTTTGATGATGTATTAGAGTGGTAGATGCTCCGTTAAATGTCTTTTAATAGGGAGAAATAGTAATAATGTTTGGAACAAACATTAAATCCCGAGGTTTTAGTACTTAGTACTTCAGAAGTACATTATTTTAACAGACAGTATTTGTCCTCATGTATGGGTTTTTTTTGACAAATAGAGTGAGGAATCTTGAATGCCTTTTTACAGGCTGAGGCAATCAAACACGTTTAATCTGTGTCTCCTGATGTCGCTTCCTTAAACAATAGCATTGAGTTATTTCTGTTGCTGAAAACTTCAGATGCTGATCGGAAGCCTAGACTTTGGTCATCTGAGATGTTTTGGGATTCTTGTACCATTTTGTGAAAAATCAGTGGGTTGAGGCATCCTGAGATTCCCCAAACAGGAGGAAAAATCTGCAAAGCCCACCATAGAGAGCTGTTTCAGATTTTCCAGTGGCAGCCTCATTTGGATTGTTGACTCCTCTTGTGCAATTGAACTTCCCCCACAGCAGGGGGCTGGAACTGGATGATCTTTAAGGTCCCTTCCAACCCAAACCATTCTGTGATTCCCCAGCTGGGTTCCCATCTGCACTGTCTGCTTTCGAGCCTTCTCTCCAGAGAGGTTAATAATGAAGCAAAATGGTTTCTTTTCAAACACTAAAACTTTGTGATGTGTCATAAAGTGAGAAAAATATGGAAATTTCCTCAAGTAGGAGAAAAGCTCACACTGAACTCTGCTGTGGAAGAGCTACATTGATGAAGCTTTCAATGACAGCAGCCATCAAAAGCAGAAACGGACGACTTGGAGCGCGAGGACCTGGTGACCTGAGGACCAATGACTGGTTTCCGCATGTCCTTATTGTAGAAAGGAAATAGAAGCTTATTTTATTTGGTTCAAGTAAGAGATGACATGGTTTATTTCTGATTTGATTCCTCTTAAATTATTATTAACGGTCAACTTCCTGATTGCAGGGTTGTTGTTTTTCAGTTGAGGCTGCCCTTCACCCTGTGGCGGGTGGGCAAGCTTGTGTTTAATGCCCGTTTGCTTGCTCTCTCTAATATATCATAGTTTTTGTTTCGCAATTTCAGGTTATGTGCCAAAGAGTTGCTGTGCCTTCACTCTCGTGGTGAGGGCAAGAGTTTGCTTGTTTGTTTGTTTTTAAATCTTGCTTATTTTTTAAGTATGAATCTCCTGGTGTCTCTTTCACTCTCTTTTTTAAAAGATGCATCAGTAGAGGGGTTTAACAGCTGCGTGTGGATCAACTTGTCTCTTTTCTGTTGAATATTTATGCTATTTTTCAAATAAGTGCCAATAAATGGAAAAAGAAATGTGCTTTGCTGTTTCTGCACTTTGTTAGAGAGGTTTTCAATAGAGATTAATGTATTTAAATCAGAATATCTATTGTAACCCACTTCCACCCACTCTAGTTTGTGTTTAAGTTTGCCTTAAAGCCTTCAGCAGACTCCTGTTTTTCCTAGCACGATGCTGTGACAGCTCTAGGAAAACTGAAGAATAAACCCAAACATTTTCAAAAGACTGTACTAGTCAAAACATGTCCCTGGTTATGCCTAGAGGAGGCCATGGTGAAATAGTTGGGCAGATGATGCTGCAGTGGGCTGGCAGGCAGCACAGCGGCTCTCACCTCTTGGGAAGAAGTGGGGAGTCTTTGTGGTTTGCCTTAATAGAGCAATTAATGCTGTTGGAGGAGAGAGAAATAGTTACACGTTTGTTGATCCTTTCCCTGCTTTTGCAAAACAGAAATCGCTTTGAACTCGTGGAAAAAGGCATCTCAAATCCTTGTCCGTCCACATCATCAAGGAGCTGCAGTTTTGTGCCCTGGAGTCAGGAAATGTGTAGGTTTTTTTCCACTGAAACAAAACATTAGATTTTGGAACAAAATTATCCTGCAAAATACATATCTGGATTCGGGGAATGAGGGTGTTACTCAACGCGGGTAATCAGCCCTGTACTCGCAGAGTGAGTCATGCTGTCAGTATTACCTCTGTCTTACCAGTGCCCTGTTGACTCATGAGGGATGAATATTGAGGCTCTGCTGGATGAACTGTCGCGGTTACAGGACTTCTGTGTGACATTCCTGAACCGCTCTGAGTTTATATTACAAGTGTGCAAGGCCCTCTGGATCAGGGAGGGGAGCCATGGGAGGAGGGGGAAGGGTTTGACACTGAAAGAGGGGAGATGGAGATGAGATCTGGGGAAGAACTTGTTTGGTGTGAGGGTGGTGAGAGCCTGGCCCAGGTTGCCCAGAGAAGCTGTGGCTGCCCCATCCCTGGAGGGGTTCAAGGGCAGGTTGGAGGGGGCTTGGAGCAACCTGGTCTGGTGGGAGGTGTCCCTGCCCAGGGCAGGGGGTGGAAACTCGATGGTCCTTTCCAACCCAAACCATTCTATGATTCTAGGTGTCTATGCCCTTGTCTTCTTCCAAGAAGTGGCCAGCTTTCTGGTCTCAGGCCATATTGGAAGTATTATGATCTTTTTTTCTTCTTTTTTTTTTTTTTTTAAGTATAATATGTAAGTGCATCTTATTATATATAACCTTGTTTTATTCTGCAGCTCTTTTTGGGCATACAGCTGTTTCTCTCTGGGGTTCTGGTGCTCCTCGGATGGCACCCTTCTGAAGTCGTACTTGTGATGGGCACTCGGTGGGGCCAGCTGCAAACTATCTTGTCAGATTTGTTGGTGGTTAAATCGGGTCTGGGACCAGCCTGTCTTCTGTGACAACTGAGAGGCGTTTTTCTTCCTGCCACCTTCTCCAGGACGATGTAGCTGCTGAGGGAACGTTGATAACCGTGCCAGCGCTCAGGGGGACTGTATTTTTGGAAGGAGTGCTTCAGTGGTGACTGCATTTAGCAGAGGAACAGATACTTCACGCTGCAAGAGAGGTACGAATGCCAGGAAAAACGAGCCTGTGCCTTGGCCGGATGAACTTGCTGGGGTGTCCTGTGTGCTGTCGGTGAGACAGTGGAGCCACCCAGCAGCTGCCCACGGCCTCTGGGGATTAGGATAACTTCATCCTAAATTTGTCCTTTTCACCTTTCTTCAAAAAGCTTGAGTGTAAACAGTCGCCAACCTGCACAAACAAATCAGATCTCCAAAGCCTTGTATTGCTGAGACCAAGATGATTCCATTTATAAATTTTTTTTGTGGTTATTAGTGCAGTCCTTGTGGGTCCAGCCCCGCTCCGGTGGGTATTTGTGTGTGGGAAGTGACTGAAGGCAGGAGTGACCCCTGGGGTGCCACCAGCCAGCTCCCAGCCCAAGAACAGCTTGTGCGTCTCTTGGCAGCAGTCACTGCAGAAATGTTCACTTCGTGCTGTCGTGTTCTTGCATATGTTGGAGTCATAACCACTTTCCTTAAAATAGAGATCTTCAGGAGTCATAATTAAAATGTGAGAGCTCTTCATATCCTGTTTTCAGCAACCTTTCTCATCACCAACTGGCAGATGGAGTTTAAGTTGATCCCTCTTCTCTGCAAGCACCAAGCTAAAATATTTGTAAATGTAATTGAGTGTTTACAGCTATAGTAAATAATTAAAACCTTAAAAACCTTATCAATCCAAAGAGGAGCGCTTGGCTTGCAAGAGTCCTTTTCAGTAGCTGGATGCAAAAATTGTCACCTCTCATCTTGCTTTGGTGGCTGTTTCCTGGATGGTTGGTTGAGCTGTAACAGAGATTCTCCATTTGTGTGTATTTGGTACCCACCTCCTGGTCTGATAACCCTGAGCAGGTCTGGGTCAGGAAATGCCTTTCCTCTGGCATGGGGGGGCTCCAAGCTGCCCCCGGGTTGGTGCTGGCAGGGAGAGATTGCTTCCCTTGGTGGAGTTTTGTGGTAGAAGCATGAGAGAGGAGGGGGGGGAAAAATAAAACGACTGAAGGAGAATAACCTTGCTTGACTTTCAGTAGCTGGCTCAGGAGCAGGGAGTTCAGGGGGGGAGGAAGTGAGTGCACTCGAACCAAAACCCAGCTCGGCCCCTTCGTGCCTGCAGCTGGGTCCCCTGTGTCCCTTGGGGAACTGGTGAGACCTCCTTGTTCCCAGGAGGGTTCCTCAGAAAAGTCTGGCATTTGTTAAATGTAAAATTCTTCCAATGATTTAGTTTATTCTTCTTTTACTTCCTTTATAAGAGCCTTGTAAAATGCTCATTATTTAAGGCTTCCTTTAGTGATTAATATTGGTATGTAAATGTTTACATTTTGATGGATGCCAACTTAGGTGGAAAGAGCTGCTCAAGTGGGAGGAGGTGTTGCCGAAGGTACTTATCTTTGGGTCTCGTGATTAGGTGGGTCTCATTACTTTTTCCTCTTGGGTGGAGAAAAATCAAACCCACGATGCATTGCTTTTTTGTGGCGCAGAAATTGCATGCTTTGTTGTCTTTGAGGGCAGCTTAAATCAGGCCGTGTGGCACTGAAATCGCTGCGAGAAACTTCTTAAAAACAAATCAGGATGCTTTCATTTCAAAGGCATTCACTTCAGCAGTGGGTTGCAATTTTGGAGATCCCTGGCAGATTCCTGCTGGAAAGGTGCTGATGGGTTTGGTGATGTTGATGGAACATGGAATTCCAGAGGGTTCCTGCAGAGTTTTTTTTGCCTCCTGATGGTGGTTTCTTGTTTGTCATCTAATGCCTTGCCGTGTGTACCTCAAGCCACCTACAGCACCTGCAGTTTCCTGAAGAATGCTCTCATGTTGTTACTCTAAATTGTGTTCTTAATTCCTCTTTTTTAATTATTTTGAACTGTCAGCATGGATTGAAGTTCCATTACAGACTCTTGGTTCTTTTATTCCATGTCTTTGATAGGCATTTTATCAGTTACCTTTGTTCCTTCTTGGTCTATCCCTTCTGGCCTCTCCTCGTAGTGAAGAGATCGCCCACTGCTTTGAGTGTGCTATTGCTGAAATCATGCCTTTGCAGTGTCTCTGCTGTTTTGGAGACCAGCATGTGTTACTTTGCCTACGTGTAACCCCATGCTCTGGTGTCAGTGTGGTCCTATGGCTTGGCAGCTTCTATCTGCCTGCTCTGGTGGGAGGTGTCCCTGCCCGGGGAACTCAATGATCTTTAAGGTCCCTTTCAACCCAAACCATTCTATGGTTTTTTGATCTCGAGTAAAGTATTGATTATCTAAATTAAACAGGTAGTTAGCATACAGCAGAGCTTCTGTAAGGTTGTGTTCCATAGAAGACTCAAATTGATCAAAAAGCGAGTGCATCCCCTTACCTGGCTTTAGCTGTCACGCTGTGGCTGTTGCCTGGCTGTATTTGTACCTCCAGTACAGAAATTTTTTGAGGATACACAGGTTCTCTGGTCCCCTTTCCTTACACGTTCGTCATCTTTAAATGTTTTTTGCTGGACTATGTAGCGCTGGTTTCCCCTTTCTTCACTAGTTCACGTGGAGCAGGGATGGGCTCCGGCGGCAGCAGAGCTCACTATCCTTCAGTGGTTTCAGTTCTGTTTCCTCGGGCAACGAGCTGCCCGTACGAGGAAGACACCTCCATCAAGGAAGATGCCTTCATTGCCAGGACCACTACTTTTGGCCGTGTCTCCTCCAGCTCTAAGGGGAGTGGCACCTTCTCCAGCACTTCTGTCGGGAGGGGGGTGCCCCATTCCACAGGGACGGGGAGAAAACCTGCTTTTCTATGGGGAGGGGGTGCCCCATTCCACAGGGACGGGGAGAAAACCTGCTTTTCTATGGCCACTTGGCCTGATCTCTGCTCGGAGGTGGGCAGGAGGATTGAATAGCAGGATCACTCAGTCCCACACCCTTTGCATCACAGTCTGGTCCCTTATTTCTTCCATTCTTCAGCCAGGAGGGCCTCACACAAGGACAGAGGGCACAGTACCTGACCAGGAACTCGATTTCCTCCCTGGCAGAGAAGGCCATTTAAGGTTTGGGGTTCTTTAAGACCTCTTTAGCTTGGTCCCTGAAGTTTGAGGGTGCCCTGGATCACCAAAGCATATGAAGCAAATGTCACTCTGCACCTGAAAACTTTCTCTCCTGTAAACAAAGTATTCCTGGGTCTGGTTTAGGGGCTTGGGCAAGTCCCCTTCTGTAGCCTTGCCCTGCCAGTGTGTACAAGTCTCACGCTCCTGACAGAGGAAAGGGGTGATGGAGCTTGGCATTCAGGAGGAGAGCCAGGTATCTTAAATATACATTGACAACCAAGGACTAAAATACAGCCGTTTATTGCCAAACCTATTTGGCAGCCTCTTCCCAGTGGAGGCTTGTTGGGTTATCAGATACTCGCTACATAAAATGAAGTATCACACAATTGGCTTTGACAATTCTGAGCTGGTTGATTCCAGGAGGGATTTCTGTGGGTGGTTGCTGAAGGTACAGTTCTGTGCAAGGGCTTCTCTTGGGGAAGGGACCGTCCCCGGGGACAGGAACCCCTTTGCTGAAAGCTCCGTCCATCCCTGGAGCGCTGAGACAGTTACACCCGCAGCTATTGCAATGGGAAGCAGCCTTTAGAGAAAACAGCATTTTCTGATCCAGACAAGTGCAGACACCTGGAGGAGATCACATTCCCTTGCTGACATGGCTCGTTCAGGTATCGCTGCCCCAGTGAGTGCCGGGTGAAGGAGGGGATGGTTTCTGCTGGGTGCTCCCAATGCCCTCCTCACTCTGCTGGAAATACTTTCCCATTTCAAGGAAATGACTGTTTTGTTGGCATGAAGAGTCAGGAACAGGAAATGACACGAACACTTCACTGTTTTTCCTGGTGTTTTTAAGAGGAGGCACATTCACTGTCTTAGGTCTTATTTCCAAAGGCACTCAGTGTTTTCCATAGTCCTATCAAACACTGGAGGTGTGTGCATGTGTGTATATATATATATATCTATATATGGATCAGAAAATCTAAATCTGGCATATCCACCTGGTGAAATGTTACCCGTGTCTCCCTGGGAGCCTGCTGTCACGATTCCATGCATTCCCTCACAGTGCTGAACTGAAACCCTCCTCAGGTCTTGTTTTCCCAGCGCTGGACTAAATCAGTGATGATGGTGGGTGCTGTGATCTCCCTGAAGCAGAGAGAAGTCAGAGTTGACATTTCTCGTGCTGATTTTGCCCAAGGAGTAGCTTCAGCTGCATCTGCCAAGTTCCACTGCGCATTTAATCAGGATTTTTTTATTGAGGATTTTTTGTCCTTGCTTGCCGTTGAAAAAGAACTGGTCCAATGTTTTAGTTGCTGATAATTTTTTGTTACTGATTTCTTTGGTCAAGGTGTTTTTATAAATCAGTTGCTGCTCTTTAAATTCCTTGAGACGGGCTGCTGTTGGTTGGGGGTTTCTGCTCTCTCTTGTCTCTCCTCCCAAGCTGTGTGTGTGCGATCATCTCCTGCAGGATGAAGGCGGGAGAGTTGGGCTGCAGTGACGCGGTTCCTGGATGTGGGATCCTCTCAGGTCTGTGCTGCAAAACACCATCCCAGGCCACAGCTGGAACCCCGGGATATGGGGAAAAAGAAGGGTTTGGGCCTTTAAGACATTGTCTTTGTGTTTAGTCCTGCTGAGATAAGCACGTGTAACAGTCAGGCTGATGAACCCCCGGCAGCTGTGTCTCCCCAACGTCTGCCCAGTCCCCTCGCCCTTCCTCAAGGCGGCAGGTTCAGCCTCAGCAGGGACACGGGGATGAGGGGGGACAGGGGAGCGGGCGGCTCCGGGAACACGCACAGGGCACCGAGCTCTCAAACCAGGAACATCTATTTATTCTGGTTTTTTAACCAATGTTAATGTTTGACTGTTTCTTTATCATCTGACGCTGATAGATGACACAATCTCAGTCCTTCCGAGAATCCAAGTGGGTAACATTTTATTGCCCTGTAGAGACTTACTTCGTTGTATTTTATATATGAGAAAAAATGTACAGTGATTAACAACTTCAATTCAACCTTTCTCCTCTTTTTTTTCTTTTTAAGCAACACTCATTTCCACATGGTTTCTTTGTATGTCCGTGCATAAACAGAAAAGTGACCCATAACATGCAGGGGCAAAGGAAGCTTAATTTCCCAAGTGTTTTTTTATATAGATCAGAGCATATGCTAGAGGCTTCTTATGAAGATTCGTGTCTGACTGAAAGGCAGGGACAGCAGCCCTTCAGTACAAGTATTTTTAAACTTAACATCTCAACAACAAAACATCAAATGAAGGGAAGCAGTTGTTATATGAAACAAGATAAATGGTCACCTCCAATATAAAATGGGCTGATTCTGACCCAAAAGAAATCCCCTCATGCAGCTGGGGGGGAAGGGAAGGTGTAGAGAAATGCCTGCGGTTTAGCTTTTATACATGGTTTAGTCTCTAAAATAGGAAAAAAATGCAGAATGTTATATTGGTGTGCAGTGGGAGTTCAGCTTCTGTTCAAGCCACTTAATTCCCACAGTGCATGCGTCCCTAAGGAAGGAAAGGATCTGGTTATAGAACCTGATTTTATTGTCTACAATCGTGATACAAAACGGCTGTTGCAGAAATTATTTCCCCCCAGATAAGAAAATAAGCACTCCCAATATATTGGTAAAGAAGGAAGGAATTTGAGAATTACTTCTTCACCTAAAATTCATGGTTTATTTCATAGTTTTTCATTTTCTTCCCCACTTCAGCCATGCCCCTCGGCCCCCCGATCTGTACACACACATGTTCCGCACTGGCCTCGCCAGCTACAACCACAAACCAAAGGGAGGTTTTACAGAAGACAAGTTTGCTTTTATAGTGATCACACACTGATGTGAACGTAAGACTAAAAATTAACAAACGTTGCTTTAATAAGGATTTTTTTTTTTTACAGTAGGCGTAGATATAAAAGGTTTTTGTTTCAAATTAATTTTCACAGGTATCACTGAACATTTCATAGCTGTCTGTTACAGAAGCACCCAAAAGTGCTTTGAGTCTTTCATTTATTATACATAGTTAAAATATATTACACTTCTGAAGGTATCTGAAATCACTGAAGGGTTTTGCTAGTGCCTTAGTGAGCCAAATGGGAGTAAAAGGCAGTCCACATTCATGATGTGAATATACAGTAAGGTGTTTGACATCCTATGGACTCATTGCTCATGTTCTCAAAATAACCATGGTGATGAGACCTGAAAGACAAGAATTTGGAACTAAACACTTTCAGTTCACTGCATAAAACATTTAAACCAAAGAAAAGACAGTTTACCCTGGAACAGGCCAGAAAATAAGGTCAAAGTGCATAAATGCATTAAGAATGAATTTATATATACACCTCAATATTGGAAATATTGCTCCAAATTTTGATGTAGTCAAAATCTGTAAAAATGACACCGCCGTGCAGTGTCTCAAGTAACCAAACTTCAAAGCAGCTGCAAATACTCCAGTTATTGATCTCACCACGGGAAAATCTCAGCATCCAGGTTTTGACTGGGTCAGTGTGACACCAGCACAAGAGCCACTAGATTTCAGGGTGGGGGTGGAGGGGGCTAATTATGGGCAGGGCAACTCCGATGCTGCATCATCTCAAGGCTCCATGACATTTTTGTTCCTGTTCTGGGCAGAATAACTGATGGAAGTTTTAGACTTTTAGACTTCAGATGGGAGTTTTAGACAAAGATTTAAGCTTCCTTGTCAGTCTGTGTAGGGAGCTGTGTGTTGTGACCTCTAAAGAAAGAGAGAAAAAAATCCAGAACTGCTCTGATAGAGGTTAAAAACAATTAAAATCAGATGAAAGTAGGAAATATGGGGCTAATAAACCTACTCATGGCACACCAAAAAGTTTCCTTCAATTATGTGCAGATACCAGAAAAAGTACAAACCTGCAAGTTCTCAGCTATGAGTTACTCTGCACGAGGCAGAGGCATATGGAAAAACATCAGGGCTCCTTCAATTCCAACCTTTCACAATAGAAAGTAGGCGAGTAGGACTTGGGAGGTGATGGTCCCCTGTACTGGGCACTGGTGAGGCCCCACCTCAAGGGCTGTGTCCAGTTTTGGGCCCCTCACCACAAAAAAGACACTGAGGGGCTGGAGGGGGTCCAGAGAAGGGCAACGGAGCTGGTGAGGGATCTGGAGCACAAGTCTTGTGAGGAGAGGCTGAGGGAGCTGGGGGTGTTCAGCCTGGAGAAAAGGAGGCTGAGGGGAGACCTTCTCACTCTCTCCAACTCCCTGAAAGGAGGGTGTAGCCAGGGGGGGTCTGTCTCTGCTCCCAAGGAACAGGCCATGGGACAAGAGGAAATGGCCTCAGGTTGCCCCAGGGGAGGTTCAGATTGGATATTGGGAACAATTTTGACACAGAAAGGGTTATGAAGCCTTGGAATGGGCTGCCCAGGGCAGTGGCTGAGGCACCATCCCTGGAGGGATTTAACAGCCGGGTTGACATAGTGCTTAGAGACATGGGTTAGTGATGGGTTTTATCAGAGTTAGGTTGATGTTCCATGTTTCTATGAAAATAGTGATTTTTCAGTTCTTTGGCAATGTGACTTTCTCGCAGGCTCAGCCGATGATAACATAAGAGCCTTTCGCTGCAGAGAGCTCATCTGGAGCCTCCAGAGCTCACCACAGATAAAGACACTTCTGAGACTATTTTACTATCCCGCTGCTACGCACGGATTTAACTTAGTTACGTTAGAAATATTCTGAAGATGGAAGCATGAGAGCAGAGAGTTGTAACGCTGCCTTTCATCAGACAAGCAATTTATCCTGAAAAGAGGAATTATAGTTCAGCTCTTTAAGGTCTGTATTAGCTCAGAGAATTGGTACCACCAGAACTGCTGTAGGCCTTTGCTTGGATGGGCTAAATCATTGCGGGTAAGAACAGAAGCTTCTGGAAGGAGCTACAGGACAGACTGTATCTTCTGCCAGGAGAAGAGAAGGCTCTGGGGAGACCTTTGAGCCCCTTCCAGGGATGATAGGAGAGATGGGGAGGTACTCCTGATCAGGGAGGGGAGCCATAGGAGCAGGGGGAAGGGTTTGACACTGAAAGAGGGGAGATGGAGATGAGATCTGGGGAAGAACTTGTTTGGTGTGAGGGTGGTGAGAGCCTGGCCCAGGTTGCCCAGAGAAGCCGTGGCTGCCCCATCCCTGGAGGGGTTCAAGGGCAGGTTGGAGGGGGCTTGGAGCACCCTGGTGTGGTGGGAGGTGTCCCTGCCCAGGGCAGGGGGTGGAAACTCGATGGTCCTTTCCAACCCAAACCATTCTGTGAGTCTCTTGTACAGAGACTTTCAGGCAATAATAAATAAATAAATAAATAAAATAAATAAAAAGCAAATAGTTCTCAAATGTTGTACAGCCCAGTTGGTGTGGGATTAACCCCTCTTTTCAATTCAGTGCTACACAATCCAGTTGTACTTCCTTGTGGAAGAAAGGTGGTTTCATCTTCTCAAGGGCAATCAACTCTAGATGAGCAAGAGTTACCTACAGCAGAAGAATCTTTTCACGAACGCTAAAAATGCTGCTGCCAAAGGAATCTTGCACCTTTCCCCACCGCTACCTCACCTCTAGCTATCAGTTTGAAGCTGCCTAGCTCCGTTCCTTTAAATCCTCCTTTCTGCTAGGCAACGGGACAGGAGAATTGAGTTTAGAGTGACTGTTCTTCGAATCTGAAATAGTTATAGAAAAATAGTCACAACAAATGAAGTGTGCGATTTCTCTATGCTTGCTAATGTAGGAGCAAAGTTACAAACCGGGATGGTGGTAGTCTCTTAGGAGGGTTTACAACAGCTTAGTTCTACACATTTCAACTGCTTATCAACAAGGTAATGAATGGAGCCTTTGGGGCCAGCTCGTCAGGGTCGGAGAGAGAAGTAAAATAACAGAAAAATGTAGGTTCTGCAATGGAGTAATTCTCTATTTCAATCTAAGAATAAGAAACAGCATGTTCCATTCAGTTTTACTGGCAGATGACTACAGCTGGCCGGGCATCAAGTGAAGCTGACATTAATGTGTCGTGGCCTGTATGTAATAAATATCAACAGTATCTAGTCTAAAATACTTACAGTAACTAATTTACCTTGATATCACTATGGCTGCAAGTTAAAATATAAGTGCAGATACAAACCAAAATGTAACGTGGTGCTTTGTCAGCCACCGGCAAACACAGGAGGAGTTTCCCAAATTGCAGAAGTTGCAAGAAAACGTTTAGGAAATCCAAAATACTTACCTAAAACATAAGCAGCTACTAACTTTTGATTCACACTTAAGTGGAGGTAGAGAGGCACCAGGGATTCCATTTCCCCCCATGTAGGTAGCATTAGTGCTGCGATACACACTATTCCTAGGAAGACTGTTAGTAAACTAGGTCCCGATGAGGCAGTTCTGTTTTCTGAAAAACAAGACGGTACTGACTGTAAGGAACATCCACCCAATATAAGCAGGACATATTCTGCAAACATGTTTGCTGCAATATCCTGAGATTTTCTTTTCCCTTTGGAGTTTGGAGGGGGTGGAAAACACCTCTTAAACCCACCCTCCTAAACCTTCCGCGTTTTGCAGGAGAGAAGGCTGCTCCCTGCTCTGATACTGGAACTTGTTTTCACATGATTTCCCAAACCCCTCCCTCCTGGAGGAAGGGAGCCTGCCAGGCCCCGTAGCTATATATACACAGTCCTGACAGCTGGATGCTTCAGCAGCTCTTGAGGTTTCACCACGCATCCCAGCTCCATTCCTTGATATGTTCCTTCAGTGATTAGTAATCCATCAGGACAAACTCTGCTTCCCCCCCAAAAACAAAACCTGGTTACAGCAAGAGCACAGGTTCTTGGGGCGAGACACATTACCCTTTCTTTGGAGGATTCAAGGGTTGCCAGACCATTTCATGTGCCACAAATGAGAAATGCTTGAATCTTACTTTAAAAACTGGCGTGAGTGAACCATTCTGACAGTCTGCTATCAGCAGAATAAGGAAATGCAAACTATGGCTGAACTGACCTTCGTACTCTTTATTGCGCTGCAGTTTAACAGCTGGAACCTACTCAAAGGCACGCGGCGTCATCTTGGAACAGAGCTGGTAACGTGTCACTTGGATACCTCTAACCAAATTCTTAAGACTCACTGGAAATTAGCCAATGTTTTTATCGAGTTTTTTTCTATCCTCAGTGACTAGCCGTATGTGTCCCTTTTTAATTCCATAAATCTCTAATTTCTAGGTTACAGGTTACATGCAAAGGCTGCAGTTGCTCTGTTCGCTGTTTTTCTGTAAGGAAGCAACATCATGCAGTCAACGAGATTTTTAAGCAGAGAAACGGCATTTGGATTAAGACCAGTATCAGATTGTTCAGGCTGGTTCAGACCCTCTGTACTGGAACCACTATCATTGTAACATTCTGTTCTCTGAGCCCAGAGACCTTGGGGGTTTGCTTTTACCACGTATCTTACTAATACCTGTCTTGAGTTTGGTTTTTTTAGTAAAAAGGTAAGTAAAATGTGTTTCACCAGCCAACAAACTATGTGTAGATAGTGAAAACATTTGGTTTTAACAAGAGGAACACTCTCAAGCAGGTTCATCTATTTCCTGGAATTAATTTTTGTTCTTGCCATGAAAAACAAAACAGTGATAAGAATAGCACAGTATAAATCGGTAAAAATAACAAGAAGGTAGACAAGATGCAAGTCAAGAATCAGTTCCGGTAAAACTTGGTACTTTTTATATCTCCTCCTACCACCTCAATTTAACTGGTCAGTCCAGGTTCTGCCCAAGACTGTTGATTCACTTCCTCACGTATGAAATGTGCAAAGAGTTTTCAGGTAGAAACTGTGCTTTTCTGTACTTGTGAGACAGACAAACGAGATGGCGCAGAACAAGGAGCACATTAGAAGATGTTTTGGCAATATTTCCTGCTCATCAGGAAATGGAGGATTAAGGGTTTGGAACAAACTCAGAAGGGGCATATGTTCTGAAAGAGCCCAAGGGAAAAAATAACTACCATCCTTTTTGCAGATAAATTCCCATTGGCTGCAACAGACAGAACCTCTGCACCAGAGGACGCACCCTCCAAGGAACGACAGACAAACCTGGGGCAGCAAAGAGTCTCCATTAACCCAGACAGCCTAAGCAGAATAGCCATAGTTTGGGTTCTTGGGCACTGTCATTCCCCAGTGATAAAGACAGCAGTCTTACAGGTAACTAAAAAGAATTATCTTAGATTTTAGTCTAGGCCTTCTAGTTACTTGAGCTATTCGCAACGGATTCAGAAGGCAGGAGGGGTAAAAGATTTTTAGCTACCTGGTTGACACAAAGTCTGCTCAAAAAAGACACTTTCAGCCAGGTGTTCTTTTATTCGTTTTTCCTCCTCTTCCTTTTGTTGTTGTTGTTCCTTTGCAGATGGAAGTAGTGTAGCAATAATCTCCTTTTTCCCTAATGCTTTCCTCTGGCTCTGCTCAGACACTTGTAGACGGAATTTATCTATCACACCATAGTAAGAAGACCGAACATCTCTGTGACGAATCACACTGCAGAGGAAAACAACATTTTGAGACAGAGGAACTAATAAAAAGCACATCTCCTGTGGAATTATGCCATACATCCCCATGCTTCCCCTCCTTCCCCCATACACAGATACACTGCAATAGTATGGATCCCCATTTCCTCCTCCATCACTCCATGTTCTTGAAGATTAGATCTTGCCTTCTCTCTCCTCTCCCTATTTTCGCTCTGGTTCTCAAACATATCTGCTCCAATTGGCTGGCTAAAAAGAACAGTTAATTATTTATCTCAATAATACCTTTGCCTCAATTTGAGGCCGAGCTGCCAATTTGCATGAAACATCAATTATCTGAAAGAAGCCTCCTCCTTTATCACTGTTGTTTGATGCTGGTGGGGTACTGAAGCAGACAGGGCAGGAAAGGAGAAAAGTAAGACTGCCAAACACCTGGAGAGATGACGGTGAAAGTCAAGCTTCTTGAGGAAACCAGGCTCAGAGCTCTACAATTACACTTTCTCAGAAGCAAAACTCACTCCCTCAGTCAGGCAGATGCAAAGGGATTTTCAAAATCAGAATCCCACCATTAAGAGCATGTCGCAGTGCAGTAAAAATGACACCTCTGTATCTACACAAACATTTCTCACCTGTCTTTCAGTGAGGGAATCTGGGTATCGGCAGCAGAGCTCTGCTCATCAATCTAGCTCCCTCAAGCGTGCATCGTAGCCTGCACTGACATGCACCATGCTGCAGAGACTTCACTGCCTACCAAGAGCAGGTACACAAGCTGCAGCCACGACTCTCGCTGTGTGACTGCAGCATAGCCGTGTTCTCTGAATTAGAGCTAAGGATTCAAGTTATTTTCTTGGTAAACCTTCTCACTGTCCAGCAGCCGCTCCGTTGCTCTACTGGTTTGAACACATTGAAACCCACGATGGCTTCAACAGTAGAACAGGGAGAGTTGTTGCATTCCTATTTTTATGGCATTTCAGGGGGAAAAAAAGCCTATGTGGGACCTACAAAAGGCAGTTTTAAAATGACACTGACCAAAGGCAATACAGACCTGAGCTGTGCTCTGCTCAACTGCCTCCTCTCTGCATTTGTCATCCAGTATGAAAATACCTACCTAGCATTAAAAAGTTGTAACATTTAGGTTTTGAAGTTGTATCAGCTCTTAAGAGGCAACATGGATTTTAATTATTTTTCCAAAGTGGAAACCTTTTTTTGTGGGAAGCTAGTCTAAATTTCTAAGATAACAATAGCCAATCTGAAAAAATAGCTACATATAAGTGATTTGGCTTCAAGAAGGTTGCCATCTCCCAAGGGGAAAAAAATTATTCTACTCTTAGTAAGACAGGATAGCCGCCTTAAAATTGCTTCAAAAAATCTGTCTTTGTGAAAAAAAAAACATACTTTAAACTGCTGCAAGAAACACGTTTTCATTTCAGTCTTTATTTAAAGGAATTACATCACAGCAAAGTATCTACAATCATTACCACACAGCCAGAGCCTGTATCTAGTTTGAATAGACTGTTCAACAAGGAAACAGAGACCAAGCTATCCCCAAGCGAGAAGGCTGCAGTAACGAACGTTGTTTTACGTCACGTCAGAGGCAAAAAGAGTGTGCTTATGACAGGCTTTCAGCAAGACCAGGGTTGGCTGGGCAACTGCCTTCACTACAACAAAAGGCTCTTCCCCCCCCTCCCCGACAATCCTAATTCATACAAGCCTCAGCACATCAGAGCAGCAGATTCAACTCTTATTTCTTCCTTTAACAATTCCTTTAAAATTGTTGTTTCTACTCTCAATACCTTGGTACCTCCCTAAACAGAACCTTGATGTACCACCGTGCTATGAGAACATGTGCCTGCTGCCAAGCAAAGAGATGTTTTCTGCAGACCCTTATAAACAGATATATTCTCCTGTTTCTTTTTAGAGACCATTGCATAATTGGAAGCTCTGTAGAATATCTGTTTATCTGGCAAACGGCCCTACTTGCATAGTACCACTCATATCCCAGCAGTAAACACTGCCCTTAAACAGCAACCAGTGGAATGGGATGGCGGTTTTGCTGCACGAAAAATTCCCTTGGAAAAACACATAGGTCTTATTTTCCTTTATTTTATAAAAGGCACTTCTTTAAGGTGAATCAAATGTAATCAAGCCTGTGTAAATGTCTGCTAAAGACAGGAATAGCTCACTGATACACTGGTATATCCTCACCTGGTTTGTTCCATTTTTAGGATTGTTGCCCCTGCCCACTGAAAATTCTAGTTCCGTGTTTTAAACTTCCTTTCTATTTGGTGAGTCCTTGGAATTTTTCAAATTACACCTAAGAAAAAGAGTCTACAGGACAGAACCATTCCCCGAGCACAGTATTATTTATCTGACAAAAGATCATTCAATAGCAGGGGGGGGGGGGGTGGTTATTGCGGTTTTGCA